AGGAGGATTCCAAGACGTCACCGCTGCAACCAAGAGTGCTCATGCGATACCTAGCTGACTAATTACCATTTTGGTCGCATGACAGAGAAAACTCAATGGATTTCGTGAAATTTATAAATCAGATTGATGAAAGAAACAAATTCACAATGGAAGTAAAAGTATAGGAGCGGTTTCCTTTCCTGGATGTGTAAGTAATCATCTCGAATGGAGTATTCAAGGGAAAAATGTTCATAAATAAGTAATATGTTGGAAAAATATTAAATATCCTTTTCATCTAAGTCATAGCCGGAAGATCGACATAATGAGGAGCATGATCATCAGAGACCTACGATTAAAGGACGGGGAATTCTAGAATGAAGAATCGGGCCGTGAAAAGAATATGACAGAGCGGTGGTTACGAAAGAAAAGTATGAATAGAGAAAGATTCAAGAAGAGGATATACCTACTCCCTGCGAACAAAATCGGTAACTATGCCCAGTATTTAGTAAATGGAAAAATAACTCACAAGTAAATCCACTTTGCATACTCTGGAGTTTACTGCATAACCAGCGGCGTCTACTAACAGAAATTTATTGGCAAAACAGAGAGAAAAAAGCAGTATAATAATCAAGGAACAAATAAAAATACGGCAATACCAACCAAAAAGAGACGCATGGATCAGAGGCCTATCGTTGACCGGAGAAAAATAGGGATCCCGAAGAAGAAGCGGATGAAGAAGATTCGGAAATCCAGTGAAGACGTGCTCAGTGAGTGAAGTATGCTCGAAGAAATAGCCTCAACTTTGGGGGCTTGGGAGACGGAGTATCACAACCGCCACAAAAATTCGGCATAATGGCCAAATGAGGTATGAAATTCACTCGAACGGCAGCAGGCGACCCAAGATAGATGTCCACAGTTTGCTCAGTGGACACGATTAAATCAAGGAGATGTCCCATTGAGACAATGCTTGATATCTGCAAGCATGAAGATCTGCTCGGTGTAAATAAGTCAAAAGTTATGATAGGGCGAGGGTGGGATACGAGGTTAAAGAGTGGATAAATGGGCCAGGACAGAAATAGGAGTGAAAACGTAACCGTTTTAGCAAAAAGTTGATCGAGGGATTAACTTCACCTGTCTCCTGGACGAGTTGCTGCTTGGTGTTAAGAATGGCAAGACTCACTGACGATGCCGGCGAAACGTCTGTTAAGGTACTAAATCTATGGTCCGACGCTGGGAACTATCATAACTACTTTAGCCGAAGAGTTCGGACATGGTGTGCCAATCTAGGTGACCTTGACAATACGGCCAACGTAGAAGAGACACTTTGATCAAGGGCATCACCCGAACAATATGAAAATGTAGGAGCATAGTCAATCTAGGCCGCTTAGGGTGATGGAAAGACGGATAATTGAGCTTTTCCACAATAAGAAGATGCCAGAAAATTTCATTAGCCCTGACTCCAAAACGGCTAACTCATCAGCATTCGATACAGGTTCTTGAGTGTCGTGGCGATGTTACCCTTCTACTCCCCTACGTGGTCAAGATTGTAAGTTGGTCACAGGATGGGAATGCCAGACCTCTTTCAACTTACATTTCTAGTGGGAGTGTCGATTAGACAAAGAAGCATTTGCTATTGCAATCGACAACGTTACTTATTTTTGATGTAAGTAGTTTTTGAGACTAGAAATTATGTTTGAATAAAATCTCAGACATCCTATATCGCATAAGGTGATTTAAGGTAGTTCGATGAAGCGGTATGGAATCCTGCTGGGAGTGCTGATGAGACCTAGACGAGGTCGAAGCCCTGAATGATGTAGCATTTTGGGAGGCAAAGCTGAGTGAAATGCTAATGTCATTGTGAGACCTACTTATCTCATTGTGGAAAAAACACAACTTTTAATCCTTCTCTCCTTTCAAGCGACCTATGCTGACCATGTTCGTATAAAAAACTTACTGATTTCCTCAAATGTTTTTATATTGAAAAATAGGAAAATGTGTCGTCAAGATTCTTGAGCGACAAACTGATGTCAGAAGAGAAGTTAAACCAAGAAAACAGGACCCAATGTTTCAGGAAAGGTTAAGGGATTAACTAAAACTAGAGGAAGCTGATAGCTGATAACTGAGGGTTCCGATACCAAACGCACTTAAAAAGGCAGTCAGCGTGAGAATCACACTTTTGCAAGCCCTCTTCATAATGTTGATAAATCAACCACAAGGTATATGATAGCCGGGATCAAGAGAATGTATTTCACCAGTTGGACATATACTTGACTGGTTTCAATTAATTTCAAATACATTACTAATGACCATATTTATCGTTTGCTTCAGGCAATATCTATTTCTTGTTTCGGATACATTCCCATTATATGCTAACTTGACGAGATGATAATATTTCTTTTTTTTATATAAATGATGATTATAACTTCTAAAAGTTTGTCAAAGATGTCAGCCTTCTCTTTGCAGCCTATGGCAGGAATGGCCTAGGCATTCAGGCAACCATTCGTCACGAGCCTATTTACAATCCTCATTAACGGCTGCAGCAAATTTCGAGTAAACACTTGCATTTTATTGAATATATGAAGACCAAGATATTGTGCCCTCTGGTACGGTAGCAGCCTCATCAAACTTGCTATTTACCCCGACCCCTCTCTTTCGATCGGCTGATCCGACTCGGGTTACTTAAGATTCCATTAATCTTCATAGTTGGGTCCTTGTTTAGTATATGATATGTGGTCCTTTCTCGTAGACCAAGGTACCAAGTCCACTGTCTGATGCTGGGAACCATGACAGCTACTATGGCAGATGACTTCGAACTAGGTACGTTCTACTAAGCCCCCTGACAACAAGACCAAGTTTCGACAACGAGGCCAACCCACTTGCATTTTATGCTAGAATCTTACTAATTGTCTTCCTTCTATCCCCATGACAGTCGCAACCGCATCTTCTCTTGGTACCCGCTCAACTTGTCAACTTTTCTCGGCCCAGCCAATTCGATGAGTCTGCTGATAGCTTTGCTCTTGCAGGCCCAGGCCGCCATCTGACGGTCAGCCGGTCTACTGGCGCCAGCTCATCAATCAGTTCGCCCAGTTGGTCTGAGGTGAGGGCCATCGCGCGCCGACGATTGGCGCGGCATTGGCGTAAGTACCAATTGCCTGCCGAAGGCTCAAAGGTCGTGTCGGTCCAATTGTCCGGATTGGAAGTGTACACCCGCTATTCGGTGTGGGTACGCGCTATGGGCACACAGGGCGAGACCTCTGGGCTCGGTGGTGTGCTCAGCTTTACGACCTTGGAGGAATGTGAGTTTTCACACTGTCTTCCTGCTGTGTACTTTTTAATTTATCTTTTCATTCTGTCGGATTGATCATTTCGTTCTCAGTTTTATGGACAGCTTATGCTAACTACATTGGACAATACATATCTCATGTTAATGGTGAATTGATGGCAAAACTATTAATGAATTATATTTTGTGATTAAATTGTACAATTAGTTGCTTTGCCTTGTAGTCGATCATTAGTTGATTGAATCACCATAAATTAATTATAGGAATACATTCAACTTGGTTATTCCACTTTCACCCCAAAAACTCTTTCTCTGTTAGGTTGAGCGGCAGTCCTGACCACTGCCAGAAGTTTAACCCGGATTTTACAGAGTCAAATACACACTATTTCTTGTACCACATCAGCTTAAGAACAGGGCAAATATCGTCTGAGGCCATAATACATTTGAATGCTTTGTGATACAAGAACTTATAGACGATATAAATTTACCTTTATTACGCAATATTTATGCTAAATTTGTGTGAAAAACATTCTTTTGTCTTGTCGATGTATCACTACCAAGTAAGTTGATTAGACCTTATCCTATCTTGAAAGCTATGTTTAGTCAAACAACCAGTTCCTCTAGTAGAAGCTTCGTTCTTAATAGCTAAAGAATAGTTTTATTGCATAAGGATTCTTTCGGGATGTTCTATCAGCTACTTCTAGATTCAATTCACAGTTAAAAGTTCCACTCCTTGTTTACTAGTCAATAAGTAAGCTACTTTAGCATCATCTTCACTTTGGTCAATTCTGAATCTGCTCAATTAAATTGGCTCAAATATCTGTATTTGGGAGTTATGTAAAAGCTGCACTCATCCTCTCAGCTTCTCTTTTGACTTGGCCGTTATCTCGGCTCTATTAAGACTAAGTTAACCAGTTTGTGTACATATTTACTGCAAATGAATCAATTCAAGCTGTAATTTCCTGCTGCCATTTAGTTCAAGCCACACTATTAATGGTGACTTCATACTTGCCAGGGGCCCGTTACAGGTGTTGACAAGGTCTGGCCGAATATACTTTTAACTACTTATAAGAAGCCGGTCTATTTGCTTTCGTAACATAACACTAAATTATTTTATTGCCAGAATCATATAATCGAGAATAATATCTAATTACGTAATTATCGGATATCTTCTTAACTGAATCCTACGCTCAATGCCTTTTTGTCCAGTGGTAATGAATTGGTAACTCGCGATAAACTTTTCTCGCTAACATTGCTCTCTGTTATTTTTTCTTTCTAATTTGAAAGTACGCCAAAATCTTACATTATTTCTCTCCGTAACTTTTAGCACCGGGTGGTCCGCCATTGAATGTTCGAGCTTCTGCAGTCTCTAACACAGCGGTTGAAGTTTCTTGGGAACAACCAAACCGATCAAATGGCAGAATCGAGGTGAGTAATAAGTGTTATCTTACCGGTATTTTGGTAAAGCGTCTAATACTCCTCGTCAGGAAAGAGACACTTTGCCCAGGCATAACAGGTATGAACTCATTCAAGAATCATTTAGGCCTGTAAAAAACTAAACAAATATAGCCTCACAAGGGACTGCATTAGTGCTTGCATTAGATTAAGGCCTTGGACCTTTTTTTTGTAATATCCGATTTTATGGAAGTTAATTGATGCAACTGGCCTTAGAAAAGCACTAAATTTTTTTACTACCCAAACCTCAACAATTATTCTCACTAATGGGTTTATACTCACAATGCAGATTGAAAATGCCTTTGCCGTTGACCTAGAAAATAGGGAGCCCTTTGTTCTTCTCGCCACAATTGTATACTTTGTTCATTGCCTCCTCAATTTGGTTGAGTTCATCCTTGTTTTAAACTAATTTACTTTTAGATGTTTAAAACTTCTGGTTTAAACTAGAGTTCTCAGACACTTCAGCCCCGAACAAATGTGCAAATTCTGAGTATAGTTATTTCTAGCCTTCCTTTATATGTATGTATGTGTGTGTGTGTGTATTTATGTGTGCAGACATGTGTATATGTATTTATGCGTATGCATGTATATGCGTGCATGCATGTATGTATTTAATATAAATATAAATAAATAAATATATATATATATAACACATTCTAAACACAAGGAATTAAGGATTTTGGTGTAACTTGCATTTCATTTAAAGGGGCGATTGGAAGGGATTCGTAGGTTGGCTTCACCGGGTGTTTGTGGGGGATGGTCTTGGAGCTATGACTGTAGATTTGTGTAAATAGGTCCTCTGCGCACCATGCTGCGACCCCCTTACATCATTACTGAACTTTCTACCTTCATTTGATGGACATCGTCAAAACAGGACACCATGCTTTACAATAATTCACAAAACACAAAGACATTGAAGGTGGCCTGCTTCAAACCTACCTACTTCCTATAGTCTAACTTGGTCCCCTTAATGCGGCATTTCATGATTTAGTTGAATGTCCTGTTCTTTATAGATACGAAGAGTAACTGGGTTTCGATGAATCTATGAGATAACACTGATGAGAAAACCTTATATTCGTATGAAAGTGTATGAAGAAGAAATGTGTAATAGAAGTTGTTTGACCTTGTTTTCGCAACTCGGTCATATTGGTAGGAAGACTAATTGGAACGCACC